CCAGCCCGGCGCTTGGGAGTGCTACTTCTGCATGCTGGGCCGCTTCAAACGCCCGGACAATGGGTGCGGCCACTGCCGGCCCGGGTGCGGCTTCTGCGGCGACACCACCGGCTGCCTGGCGTGCCTGCCCGGGCTCTTCATGCATGACACCCTGTGCAGGGCCGCCTGCCCGGCGGGGCTCTACCCGGACGACGCCTCGCGCACGTGCGCCGCCTGCCCGGCGCCCTGCTCCACATGCACCGGCCCGGCCGAGTGCACGGCCTGCCACGGGGGCAAGCTCGCCCACGGCAGCCAGTGCGTCGACCTCTGCCCGATGGGCCTCTACTCCGACGGGCACATGTGTGTCCGGTGCCCGGCCGGCTGCCAGTCCTGCCTGTCGCCGGGGTTCTGCTCGCGCTGCCACCCGGGCTACCTGCACCATGCGCTGACATGCGTGGACACCTGCCCGGCCGGCCACTATCCCAACGAGGCCGAGGGCCTGTGCGCGTCCTGCGCCGAGCCGTGTGCCACATGCTGGGGAGATCGGAAGAGCACACGTGTGTCCGGTGCCCGGCCGGCTGCCAGTCCTGCCTGTCGCCGGGGTTCTGCTCGCGCTGCCACCCGGGCTACCTGCACCATGCGCTGACATGCGTGGACACCTGCCCGGCCGGCCACTATCCCAACGAGGCCGAGGGCCTGTGCGCGTCCTGCGCCGAGCCGTGTGCCACATGCTGGGGGCCCGGCCCGGAGGCATGCACCTCCTGCCCGGCCGGGCGCCACCTGCATGCCGGGGCCTGTGTGGCCGCCTGCCCGGCCGGGACCTTCGCCAGCGGGGGCGCCTGCGCCGCCTGCCCGGACCCCTGCGCCGCCTGCACCCGGGCCGAGGCCTGCACCCAGTGCAAGAGCCCGCGCTTCCTGAGCGACGGCGCGTGCGTGGCCGCCTGCCCGGGGGGCACCTTCGCCGATGCCGACACCGGCGCCTGTGTCCCCTGCACCGGCGCCTGCGCCACCTGCACCGGCCCGGGCCAGTGCACCTCGTGCGCCGGGCCGAGGCTCCTCCACCAGGGCACCTGTGTGGAGGCCTGCCCGGCCGGGCACTTCGCCCAAGCCGGCGCCTGCGCCGCGTGCGGCCCCCGGTGCGCCGCCTGCTCGGACGCCGCCACCTGCACCGCATGCGCCCCGGGCTACCCCCTGCACCGGGGGGCCTGTGTGGCCGGCTGCCCGGGGTTTTTTTTTGACCGGGCCAACGAGTGCCTCCCCTGCCCGGCCGGGTGCGCCCTCTGCCACGAGGCCGATGCCTGCGACGTCTGCCTGGCCGGCATGGTCAAGCATGAGTCCCGGTGCCTGGCCGGCTGCCCGGCCGGCACCCATGTCACCAGCGACCCGGACCACCAGTCCCAGAGGCTCTGCCAGGCCTGCCACCCGCTGTGCGCCGAGTGCGCCGGCCCGGCGGCCGACCAGTGCACCGCCTGCGACGGGTCCCTCACCATCCGCCAGCCCATCCCGCCGGTGGACCCGCCCCTGGCCGAGGGCATGTGCGTGCCGGACTGCATGAACAACCCGTCGCAGTGCGCCGAGTGCGAGCCCACATGCGACCTGTGCCGGGCCCTGCCCGACGACCAGACCTTCTGCATGGTCTGCCGGGCGCCGATGCTGGCCCTGGAGGGCCGCTGCGTGGACGCCTGCCCGCCCGGGCACGCGCCCATGGTGGCCACGGGCCACTGCGCCCGGTGCGCCGGCGAGTGTGGCGGCGCCTGCTCCGGCCCGGCCGGCACCCAGTGCCTCAATTGCCCGGACGGCAAGGTCCTGCAAGGCGGCGAATGCCGAGATGCCTGCATGGCCGCCGGCTGGTACGCCGCCAGCCCGACCACCTGCAAGCGCTGCCACGGCAGCTGCTCGCAGTGCGCCGGGCCCGAGGCCGACCAGTGCACCGCCTGCCCGCGCGGGACCCTGCGCCTGGCCACGGCCGGCCCCGCCTCCTCCCCGCCGCCGGCCGGGGCCCTGTGCGTGTCGGCCTGCCCGGAGGGGCTGGTGGCCGACCCGCTGCGCGGCGAGTGCCAGCCCTGCCACCCTGCGTGCGCCACATGCTCCGGCCCCCTGGCCGGCGAGTGTGTCGCCTGCCCGGCCGGCGGGCTCCTGCACCAGGGGGCCTGCGTGGCCGCCTGCCCGGCGGGCTTCCGCCCTGCGGCCGGCCATGCCCATTGCGAGGCCTGCGCCGCCGGCTGCGCCGAGTGCCCGGCCGGCGCGGACCTCTGCACCCGCTGCCGGCCCGGGCACTTCCTGGTCCTCGGCGCCGGGGCATGTGCGACCGCATGCCCGGAGGGCCACCTGACCGACGCCACGGCGCGCGAGTGCGCCCCATGCGCCGGGGCGTGCGCCCGCTGCGCCGGCACCCCCGACACCTGCACCCGGTGCCGGGACCCGGGGCTGCGGCTTCGCGCCCACACCGGCGAGTGTGTGGCCGCCTGCGCGGCCGGCGAGGCCGAAGCCACCGGCCTCGGCAGCCAGGCCGGCCTGCTCCTCTGCCGGGCCTGCCACGCCACCTGCGCAACATGCCGGGCCCCGGACAGCGCCGGCGCGTGCGACTCCTGCCCGGCCGGGCGCTTCCTCCTGGCCGGCGGGACGTGCGTGGCCGCCTGCCCCGAGGGGCACTTCCCGGCCGACGACACGGGCCAATGCACCCGCTGCAGCCCGGCCTGCCGGTCGTGCTCCGGCCCGGCCAGCGACCACTGCCTGTCCTGCGCCGGCGCCGCGGCCATCCTCCACCAGGGCGCCTGCACCGATGCCTGCCCGGCCGATGGGTTCTGGCTGGATGACAGGCCGCCGGCCGGTCGCGCATGCGTGCCCTGCCGGCAGGACTGCCTCCGGTGCCCGGCCGGCGGGGACCACTGCTCGGCCTGCCGGCCGGGCCACTTCCCGGCCTGGCCGGACCCCGCCCTCGGCCTCGTCTGCGTGGACAGCTGCCCGGCCGGGACCTTCCTCCAGCCGTCGCCCGACCACGACCAGGGGCGGTGCACCCCCTGCAGCAAGGGCTGCCACACATGCACCGGGCCCACCCCGCCGGAGTGCACCCGCACATGGTGCCAAGCCGACGACACGTGCACCGCCGCCCGTATGTGCCATGCCTCCGGGCCCTGCTCGGCTCCCCCTCGCCCCGGCCATAGAAGTCTGACACATCTCTCGCTGCCCGCTCGCCAGGCAATCGCCACCTGGCCGTCGGCCTCGGGGTCGGCCTGACGGTGCTCCTGCTCCTGCTGCTCCTCGTGCTGGTGCTCGTGCATGTGTGCCTTCGCCGCCGGCGGCCAGCGGCCCCGGGCCCCGAGGAAAAGTCCGCCGTGCGACCGCCCCGCCAGCCCCTTTTCCGCCCTCTTGCGCTCGGCCCTCCGCCCTCCCCCCCCCCCTCCCCGCCGGCTGCCGGTGCCGGGCTTCCCCTGCTGACATCTGCCCGTGCCCTTGTAGGACGTCGACATGACCATCCTCAACACCTTCATGGGTACGGGGCTGCATCCACCCAGGCCGCTGCCGCTGATGCCTGGGCCCCTGGCGCCCGGGCCGCCGCCCCTTGCGACCCTCGCACAGACTGACCACAACCCGCTCAAGACCTCTCGCTGCCGGGGTTCCTGCTTCTGTCGGTGGCGCATGACATCCGCATTCTCAGCCCGAGCCCCGAGCAGAGCGGCAGCCAGGGCGGCATCTTCGCCGTCGAGCCGGTCACATCGGCGCTCGCCGCGGCCGCCGGGCCCAACAGCATCGTAATGAAGATGGCACATGGTGCGCTCGCTTCCCCCCCGCCCCCTCCACGCTGGGCACTCGGCCGCCTCCCCTGTGCCTGTGCTCTTGGCCCCGGGGATCTGACACACTGGCCCCTCGGGGCGCATGCCCCCATCACCGCCACCACTCATGGGTCCCAGAGGAGGGTGGCAGCTCGCTCCCGGCGGCACAGGTGCAGGCCATGTTCGAGAATGAACTGTCCATCCTGTGGGCGCTGCAACAGTCGCCGAATGTGGTCCGGCTGCTGGGCTACACCCAGGCCCCCTCGGCCATCCTCATGGTCCGCGAGGTGATCGACCTGGCGGGGCTCCTCAGCTCGGCCAGCCTGCTGGACAAGTGCAACATCCTGGCCCTGCTCCGAGGGATGGGTGCGTCTGGGCCTGCCTTCTGCCTTTTCTGCCTCTCTCATCGCTCTCTCTCTCTTCATCATTCTCGCTCTTCATCATTCTCGCTCTTCATCATTCTCGCTCTTCACTATACCCTCTCTCGTCATCACTCTCGCCCCCTCCCTCTCTCCACCATTCCCTCTCTCTCTACCTCCCTCGCCCCCTCCCTCTCTCCACCATTCCCTCTCTCTCTATCTCCCTCGCCCCCTCGCCATCTGGCAGGCGATACTGATGCCCCGTCCCAGCCACCGGCCTGGCTTTCATCCACGCCCAGGGGATCGCCCACCGGGACATCAAATCACACAATGTCCTGGTCGGGCCGTGCCCCGACACCGGGGCCATGCGCCCGGTCTTCGCGGACTTCGGCGTGTCCATCGCCGTCAGCCGAGGCTCGACCCTGCTGGACTCCACCATGCTGGAAGCTTGCAGCGTGGCCTTCGCCGCGCCGGAGGTCCTCGCCTCGCTGCGCCTGCCTGCCCCGGGCCCCGGCCGCCGCCCGGATTACATGGCGGCCGATGTCTTCTCCCTGGCCACGGTATTTTGGCATGTGCTGACCTTGACCCGGCCGTGGAACGGTGCGCGTCCCGGCCGACCCTGCGCCCCCGCCTGCGGGCAACACGCACATGCACATGCACACACTGACCAGGGCCCGCGGCGCCCCTCTCGAACCAGGTCTCGGCAGCGATGCCACCGTCGAGGCCGTCCTCCAGGGACGAACGCCCGACTCCCATGGCCCCCCGGCGCACGAGGCCCTCCTCCAGGACCCCTTGCTCGCGGGCCTGGCGAATGCCTCCCTGCCGGCCATGTGGTCCATGGACCCCGGGCAGCGCCCTCCCATGGCGGCCACGGTGCTGGCACTCGAGGGGTAGCGCCTGCCCTCCGCGGGCCTCCCCCGCTCCGGGGATCCTCGACTCCGGGGCCATGGGGCCCCCTTGGCCACCGGCCTGGACGCCACGTCGCGGCCCTTCGTCTGGCCGGGCCTGGCAGGGCCCTTGCCATCCTTGCCAGGAAGGAGCCCGCCTTCGACCGGCCCGACAGCAACACATGCTGCACCGGGCCAGGTGGCAGTGGCCTCTCGGGCGCTGGCCGGTCTTATCGCTCCCGGGCGCCGGCCTGCGGCAGCACCAGGCCAATGCATGGACGTGCGCGGAGAGCCGAGCAAAACACACTGCTGTGCCATGACGTGTTCGTGCATTATGATGGGGTCGCGCCGTGCGCAGGGAGCCGCACACACACACACCCGGTCACCGGGCGAGGGACGAGCGAATGCGGCTCCTCCGGAGAGAGGGCATCCAGGACCGGTGAACAACAACCAGAGAGAGTACAGGGGGGCAGAGCCAAGCCCAAGGGGGGATCGGCTGGTGGCCCGGGATGACTCGCCGCTCGGGCAGGCGCAGGCGTGAGGGCAGGCAGGGGGCTGCTTGTCGGGACGGAACGCTGCCCGGGGTGGCGACGGCCCGGCACGCGGGGCGCGGCCTCCTCTGCTTGTTCTCCCCTTTCGGCCAAGCTGGCCCGAGGCGCCGGGCATGATGGGCCACCGTGCACTTCCTGCCGGGAGTGCGACCAATCGGACGGCGCTCCCATGACCCATGGTCGCTTGCGACCGGTCGCCTGGCGGCGCTGCCGGCACCTGGCTCGCCGGGCGGGACGCCATCCCTCCGGGCTGGTGGGGCCGAGAAGAGGCGCACGCGAATGCCCGGGGGACGGCGCTTTGGCATGGATGGAGATCGCCCTACTTGGTGTCAGTCAGGGTTGGCGTGTCGGCCATGGGTGGGATCGGGGGCGGGGGGGGGGGGGGGTCCGAACTGCCAGCAACGGCCGGGCGCCGGCATTCACGCGAATCCCGCGCGCAAGCCTCCCCCAGGAGGGGTCCCAAGCCGGGGACAATGCGCGCCGGCACCACCCGCCGAATGCCATCGTGCCTCGCCCGGCAGGAGAGCGCAATGCACACCCCGTCGTGGGACGGCGCCCTGTGGCAAGTGACCAACGCAGGCATTTGTGGCAGAAAGAATGGCAAGAGAGAGAGCGAGCGAGCGCGAGCGAGCGAGGCGGATCACACTGGGCAATGGAAATGCCGGCATCCCGAAGCCGATGAGAGGCCCACGACTGTGCCGGGACCCGGGCCTGTGGCTCGCGAGGTGATCGACGCCCCCGAAAGCCGGCCCTGCCGAAAGACCATTCACGCAAGCCCGGACCCTCGCGCAGGGTCGCCGACCCCGCGGCGCAGGATCCTCCGATCCATGCATCCGCGAGGGGCGGCCTGGCTTGCCCGTGCAGCGGCATCCCCAACGACCCGCCCTCCTCCCGACCGAGGAGAGATCGAGCATCGTGCCGGCAGGCGCCATGACCAGAGAGACACACGCACGCACACACGGGCATCCGAAGGACAGAACCCGTCCCGCGATCGCCTTTTGGGTCAGGGCGCCAGGAGACCGGGCCGCAGGAATGCGTGCGAGCGCCATGCGACGAGCCCCGGTCCGCGTCATCACCTGGCAGACCGCACCCAGCCACATGTATATGCACATGCCACACGCCAGCTGGCGCCCCGCCCACTTGAAACACGGCGATGTGGCCCCGGGGCAGGATCGGGGCAAGCAGCAGCGTGCATATTGCCCGGCGGGGGGGAGCAATTGCAATCGGCCGCCACAGGCACCAGGCATGTGGCCGGGGCCGGCAGCATGGGATGCCCCGCCCTGGACATTCGCCCAAGCGTTGGCAGTTGTAGCGACCATATGGCGGAGCACGGACAGCGGGCATCGCACTCCTCCCCATTGTCAGGTTGCTGTTAGCTTCCGGGCCACCGGGAATGGCTACTTCTGGTTGTGGGTTTCGGCGTGCACTTTTTGATTGAGGGCTTGCTGGGGCCTGTGGCCCCCCCGGGCCCTGGCGAGGATGCCGGGGAGCCTGCGACGGGGGGTCGGGCGAGCGAGGCCGCTGGCGGCGGCGCAAGGCCTTCGGCCTTCCGGGCCACCCTGCCGCCCTGGCATTCGCGGCCTCTCGACTCGGTGCCGGGCCCGATCGACGACCCATGGGCTCGGGACATTGAGCCGGACAATGTGTCGGCGCAAGTCCCGGAAATGTCCAGAAACCGATGCCTTCTGGAACGGGATTCGCAGGTCCCTCGCGCGGCCGGGGTCCGCACGCTTCCGCACTTCGAGTCGGTCTAGCCCGGGGTCGATGTACTTCGGCCCTGCCGGGCCGAGAAAGTCACATTGGGCCAGCATCCTCGTGAGGGACGCCCCCTCTCGATCGAAGTAGCCATGCAGCCCCTCGTGCACTTGCCCCGGGGTAAGGCCCAGTCCCGCCGCGCCGATGCACCACGCAGTCAGCTCGACCACCAGTGATGGATTGCCCTCCAGCGCGGCCCACCTGCCAGGCACACGGTGAAGGGGCTTCTGGTGGGAGCAGCGAATGGTCGAGCGCGGGTAGGCCTGCATGGTGACGGTGGCCTCACTGACATCCCCCGGGATGCAATGGTGGGTGAGCTCCCTCGGCAGCGGGAACGCCTCCTCCGTTGTCCAGGACCGCAGCACGCCGTCGAGCAGCAGCGAGTGCAGCATGAACTGGCGCGGTGCCAGTCGGCCGGACTCGTGCAGATCCGAGGGCCGCCCAAGCCCCGCCACTCGGACGAGCACTTTGCGCTTGCCCGCCTTCCAGGCAGGCGCCAGTGCCCTCAGGAAAGTGTCCTCGGGAGTCATGCTCATGCGTTTGGCGAGCGGTGAGCCGCCCGCCCGGCGCACGAGGCCACGGATTTCCGCCCATGCGGAGGACATCGGATCCCTCGCCCGCGAGGATCCCACAGCGACCCCGTCGACTTCGGCCGCGCGCGCCCAGGGCGACCTCGGGGTCGGTCCGCGCGTGGGGCTCCGCCCAGAATTCCGCGATCGCTGAAGCAACCCCGGGGTTTTTCGGCAGCAGCTGCGCGCCGGGGAAGACCGGCTCGACTTGCCGCAGCAGGTCGACCACCACGGGGCAGTACTGCTCCCCATGGCGCTCTGCGGCCCGCGTGGCGACCTCGTCACGCCTCCAGTTGCTTGGCAGAAAGTCCGACGCCCAGCAGGCGCATGCCCCCCAACGCCGAGGGTCCCCAAGATGGAGTCTTGGCATGGCCGGGAGCGGCCCGGGCTGATGCACACCCCGGCCGCCCCTTCATCCGACAGCAGACAAGAGCCCGGCAGCCTGCGCCTAAGTGCCTGGAGGAGGGTGCTCGAGGAGAGGCAAAGTGCGACGTGCGCGTCGGCGAAGCGAGGGCTCGTGAACGGGGGCCCTTCCCCGGTTCATGCCGACGACCAGGGCGAGTACCGCGTGGACGAGCACCAGCCCCTGGCCTCCCCGGACCCGGGGCTCCCACCGGTCCAGCAGGGCCCCAGGCTCCTGGGAGGGGTCCGCAGCGTGCTGGAGGATGACGGAGGGAAGGCCGCAGGCGCCCTCCACCTCCGGCATGCCGAAGTGCGCCGCGCTGGCATGGGTCTCCACGCCGCCGAGGTTGATGCGCGTGGCCGGCGGCCCCTTGACGAGGGCCTCCTCGGTCTTGCGTCTGCAGGTAAAGCCAGGGAGCAACATCTCCAGCTAGTGTCTCGGTGCGCCATCGGATATGTGGCGAGCCAGCTTGCTGCCTGAGCGAAACGCACCGACACGATCCCTGGGCAGGATCGGGCAGCGCGTCAGTGAGCAGCAACGCGTGTTGTGTGTACGGGGGGGGGGGGAAGATACGCAGGCAGCGGTGCCGCGAGCATCGGGCATGTGTGGCCGGGGCCGGACCCCTAAATCTCTTGTCCGGGGCGCTGGCCCGAGCGTTGGCAGCTACAGGGCTCATCTGACGGATCGCAAACGAGGGGGGGGCATCGCGCGCGGCGTGCGGACGGCTCGCGCGCCCCGCCCCCGGGGCGATCGAGGGAGGGCGGAGGCCGTCGCGGTGTTTGCCGCCGGCCGGCGCGTTTCAAGAACACCGCCCCCGTCCGGGGCGCCGGGCGGGGCAAAAACAACAACACCAGCAAGCACCGGACCAAACGGGAGCGCGCCGCGCCGAGCATCAGCCAACGCGCCACGTCCGAACCCCCCGCCTCCTCCCCTTCATTCAAGCGCGCCCCTGCCACCGGATTGCCATCGCCCTGCGACGAAATGTGCACCCGGCAGGGAGGAGGACCGAGGAGGCCCGATCGGCCGGATGCGCGGCCGGCAGGCGCATGGCACCCGGGCGCCACCCGGGGCCCGGCGCAAGGCCGGCCGGCCCTGCGTGGATGACGGCCCCCGCCCGGCCCGCTGGACAGCAGGCCGCCTCGGCCACTTGCGCCTGCTCCTCCTGCCCCCCCGGCGGCCGGGGTGTTCTCTCGCGGGGCGTGCGCCCCCCAGCTGCCCTCGTGTGTCCACCGTCCGGCGCGAGGGGCACACTCATTCGCAAGGTCGCCGGGTGCGAGCGACCACGCGCGCCGGGCATGGTGCCAGCTGCCATCACGGCGCCCGCGAGGCACCCGGGCCGCGCCTTCGCCGATGCCGCCCCGAGCATGCAGCATGGCAGCCCAGGGGCACTCCGCACCCGGAGGGCGGCCGAGGCCCCGGGCCGTGGCGTCCCCCGGATGCAGGTCAAAACCCGCCGCAGCTCACCGGGCCGCCCTGCGAATGGGCCCTACCCAGGCGGCCGGGCCTCCCGCCACCGCCCCGGTGAGCACGCGGCTGCTCCTGCCGGCCCTGGCCCGCGCAAGGCCTTCTGCTGGCCCGGCCGCCGGCCGCGGTGCGTCTCGCGGTGGGCCTGCCCCATGCTCGCGCCCTATACCCGGTGATGCTGCTGGGCCATTTTGTCGTTTCCGTGGAGAAAAGCAACAGCGCCCTCCCCGGCCGGGCCGCCAGCCGCCTGGCGCCCAACAGCCAGCTGGCTGCCTGACCAAGTCTGAGTTGCGAGGAGGGCGCCGAGGCGCCCCCTGTCGCTCGAGCCCCCTCGCTGGCGGCCGAAGCGCTGGCCCTGCCCCCCGCCATGTTCGACTGCTGGCTGCCGGCTTGCCTGGCTCTCGGATTGACGCTGCCGCCAGCGTCGCCGGCCCCAGGTCTCGGTCCGTCCCGGGGGGCGGGGCCGCTCCCCGGTGCCCGCCACAGAGCCTCCTTCGGCCGGCGTCTCGGGAGCGGTATCCGTGCCGCAGTGCGTGCAGGCGCGGCCCAGGCCGGCGCCGGGACATCCGGCACCCCCGTCGCGCGCATCCAGCGCACGGGCGGCACCTGCCCGGCGGTGTGGCAAGCACCTGCCCCCGGCCGGGCACCTTGGCCTCGTCTGCTTCTCGAGCACCTCCATTCTGCCGCTGTCCAGCACCCACGCCAGGTCCAGCACGCACACATGACGTCGGCCGCCGGATCTCGGCCGGTGTGCCGGGGACATCGCGCGGGCGCCGGCGGGGATCCCGCCTCGCCGGGTGCCCGTCGACCAGGCTCCGGCCGGGCGAGGTGGATCCCGCGCGCCGGGGGTCTCGCCCGCATGCATCTGAGCCGGGGGGGGGGGGGGGGGGGGTTGGCCGCGCGGGGGGCTTCTTCGCCGATCTGCCGGGCGGCTCCCCCGGCGACCGGCCACGCGCGTCTGCCCGAGTCGATGGGCTCATGCCGGTGCCGTGTCATTGCTTCTCGCGCCTCCAGGCTAAGGCGCACCGTGGCCCGAACGAACTCGGCGCCGTGCTGCGTGCGCCGGGAAAGGCAAGCTCCTTTGCCTTGCGGGGGTGGGGGCCGCATCCTGGCCGTCATCACGACCCGGGCAGGGCCCCACCACGCACGGACCTGCTCGCCCCCCTCCTGTCACATGGCCGGACGGCCGGCGAGCTTGCTCCATCATCCCCAGGCACACGGGGCGGAGCCCGGTCGGCTGCCCCGCGCCCGAACCCGGCCCGGGGAGGGCGCCCTCCTGCCCAAAACGCCACGCAGCGTGTGACGTGCGCCCTCGGTGGATTGGCTGGCTCCCCTGCCAGGCGGCATTGCCCCGCCGGCCGGCCTCGCCTTCTGAGCGCCGAATCCCGGGACCGGCCGGAAACCAGCCGCCCACCGTGCGCCCACTCCCGAGCGGCTACCCCATCCGGTGGCCGCCCGGCAGCACCTCCAGGCCCAGCTGGCTGTGGTCAGGGTGCTCTAGCTCGCCGGGCTGGGCGCTCGGCACGGCTGCGCGGCATGTCTCAGCGCGACCGGCACCCTAGCGGCGGGTGGAGCCCCGCCCGGGACCGCGGCCGCGAGCACATCACTCGCCACCCCTCGAAGGGCCGAGGGCTTCCGGCCGGGGTTCAACTCTGCCGGCCTCGGTCGCATTGGCCGCATGTGCCGCGTCGCCGGCCGTGTGCTCAACAGACGCATGCCGCCGGCAGTCACCGCCCCCACCGGCAACATGGCGGCCGGGGCTACTCCCGTCCGGTAGCCCGGTCGGCCGGCGACGCGCGGAGCGTCTCGCGGCGTCCCCGTCGCTCCGGAGGCCACCGGAGGCCGACCAGCCCCTATATGGTCGCATGGCCCACCGGCCTCAGGGCACCCCGTTTGGAGCCTGGCCCCGGGGCCGGCCTGGCCGGGGCATGCGGCCCCCCGTGTGGAATGCCCACCAGGTGTGGCGTATCCCGGTGCTGGGCGCCTTTCGGGCGGTCTCCCGGCCGCGGGGGCGAGCCCCTCTTTCCCTGCTTGCCAGCCGCCTCCTGGGCCCCTGTCACAGCCGGCCCAGGCGGCAGGCCCGCCTGAAAGCCGCATCCACACGGGTCTCTCGGGGGGCGATGTGCCGCCAGATGCGGGGGCTCGCGCATCCGGGTCACCTCCCTGACCCACCTCCCTCCTCCCCGATACCCTCCACAGCCCAACGGGGGGGGGGGGGGGCGGGCGGCCGCCAGACACGGCACCCCCGGCTCGGCCGGGCCGCGCGGCAGCGGAAAACAAAACGCCCCCGGGGCGCCGGGTCTCCCCGGTCGCCGGTCCGCAGGTTGCGCGGCTCCGGGGGAGGGGAGGGGGCGGGCGGTACTCGCGTCTCCCGTGCCGGGCGCCTGGTTCCAGGCCTGGGGCACGGCTGGGCGGCAGCTGCCGGGCGCCGCGCACCCGCCAGGGGGCTGGGGTGGGCCGATCGGCCCATTTTCCGGATGCCAACGGTCGCACTCCTCGGCCGGTGCGCCCGGGCCCAGGCCTCTTGGGGCGGGCAGGTGGGCGGCCCAGGGGCCAGGGGGCGCATCGCTCGCCCGAGGGCGCCGAGACGCGGCCCGCCGCCGGCTAAGCCGACCTCCCCGCGATCGGTCATGCGCCTGGGCGGGGGCTGGCCGAAAAAAAAGGTGAAACCCCTGTGCCACGTGCACCTGCCACTCGGCTCCCGGGGCATTTTAATACCCCTTACGGGGCCGGGCACCCATGGCCGGCGGGTCGGGTCCAGATCCCCAGCCCGCGGGCCGACCCGTGTGTCAAACCGGCTGATGAAGCCCAATGGGCGGAGGGGGGGGGCATGCACGCAGGCCGCGCAAACACATGTAAACAAAAATAAAAATTTTAGTATATATTTCACCCTGCCCTCAGCCGGAGCGGAAAAGCGGCCCCCCAATCGGAGCCCGTCCAGGAGCCCCCCCCCCCC